CTCTCCTCAAGAAGCTGCCAAGACCATCAGCACCATGTCTCCTCACCAGCCTTCCTGCTTGACAAGGCTGGATCAGCACTGAGGGAGGATGGAAGCCTCCATCCTCCCTCTCCATGCTTCTCAGATCTACTCTCTCACTTCCGTGGCTCCACTGGTCTAAAACCCTCATGTCTTCACCACTGAATTCCTGTAACCCTCTCTCAGCCAATGTACTCTTTCTATTGGCATCTCCTATCACCTCCCTATCCACTCTTCTAAACATATTTTCTCAGGGAAATTTTCCCTTCAAAAACCTTTATCCAGGGCTGGGGATATAACTCAGTTGGTAGAGTGTGCCTTGCATGCACAAGTCCCTGGGTGGGGGGGAGAGAGAAAGAGAGAACGGGAGGAAGGGAGGAAGGGAGGAAGGGAGGGAGGAAGGAAGGAAGGAAGGAAGGACCTTTATCAAAAATGGTATGCTTGGGACTGTGGTTGTGGCTCAGTGGTGAAGCGCTTGCCTAGCACATTCAAGGCTCTGGGTTCAATCCTCAGTACCATATAAAAATAAATAAATAAAATAAAGTATTGTGTCCAACTACAACTAAAATACAAATATAAAAAAAAAAATGGTATGTTCTCTACACCATCAATCCCAAACTTTTCAGATTAGCTGCATGAAGGAAGGGTCCTGGCCTGTACTACTGACAACCTGGGCCAGATTCCTCCTTGAGACAGGGCTGCGCTGTGCACCTTAAGATGGTGAGCAGCATTCTTGCCACTAGTCACTAGATACCATTAGTTCCCCCTCACCTATCTGTGACAACTAAAAATGTTTCCCAATATAGCCAAGTATCCTCTAGGGATAGGATCATCCAAGCTGAGAACAAATACATTATGGTTTTCTAAACCTCCTGCTTATTCCATCTCATTGCTCAACATTCCCCAGCAAACATCTGAATCCAAAGCAAGAACAACCTTCTCTGGATTCAGTGAGGTCTATACACCAGACTATCATCTCTCAATCTTTCCACATGGGGTCCCACCAGCCTTTTCTTCTAATCAACATTTATACTTCCTTTATAAAGACCATCCTCTCCATAGAGCTTGTTGTAGCAAGTTGAGGCTTTCTGACCCACCCATAGGTTCTCTCTCCCCAGCTCTTACTCTTTGGACCATGAACACACACCCAGTCATTCTCTCCTGAAGTCTTAGAAACATAACAGATGTAAGTACTTGTCCTCACCAGGTCTTATCAGGTAGTAGGAAGAGAAAGGAGAGTGAGGACAAGAGGTTTAGGGTAGAAGCCAGGGGTGGTTGGGAGCAGAGGGGCAGAGGTCTCCACTAGAGGATGGGAAAGTTAAGAGCAGGAGCCTCAAACAGCAAGTCCTGGAGTTGAGGAAGGGAATCAGCAGTAGGGTACAGGACAGGGGTGCCGCACAGCAATGGCAGGAGACTGGGGCTGCCCTAACAGTAAGAGCACCAGCAGCATGGCTCAAGCCAGGTGGTCCAGACACTGCCAACAAAGATGTGTTGCCCAGGGCAGGCGTCTACCCACAGCATCAGTTAAGGGGCCCAGGTAAGCTTTAGGGGCAAGGTCAAAACCAGGACTACGTCACCCGCACGTGACATTTCTCTCAACAAGAGACTTTCTTTAATTATTCAAGATGGTATGCTGGGCACTGGCCTTGGTTCTGTCTCCTTGCTAAACTCCAGGCTTTGAGGCTAGGGCCAATGTTGTAAACCTCTTTCAAGCCCCATCGAACACAATGCCAACCAAGCTCAAGGCAGGAGCTTTCTAAATAAATGCTTACTCATAGGAGAGGAACAAGTTGTATAAGAAGCTAAGTTTCTAAGGCTTTCACCTATTTTAAAACAACCCTGCCAGATGGGGGGGGGGGGTAGCTTTAAAAAAACAAACTAACAAAGCAGACATTTTGAAAGATTAAATTATTCATATAGAGCTGAAGAGGAGGTTAGAAAAGGGAGGCTCAACTTTGATTTGTTTGGCCTGAAGGCTTTTATCTTTTCATCATTCTCTACGCCACTTCAGTGGAAGATGCAGAAATCTAGGGGGAAAAGAAATAGTTTACTAAGTTCTGATAAAGTCCTTAGACAAAAAGCCTGGTCCCCAAGGAGAAAAGCTAAAGGTCCTTCTTAGCAGAAAGAGCTGACTTCTCTACCTGGAGGTAATTCCACTCACCAGCAACCTGGGTGGCCTGCCAGCTCAGAGCACAAAGCCAAAGGATGATGGGAAATGCACACACGAGTGGGCGGGAGTGGTGAGCACAGGGACAGCAGCTGAGACCCTTCTCATAATGGGAGGCAAAACAACAGCTCCTCCCCAAAGACATTCACAGTCATCCCTACAGCCCAGTCAGGTATAGAAATGGGTCTTTGCAGATTAAGCATGAAGATGTGATTATAAACCCTGAGATGGGGAGAATACCCTGTGGGTGTGACCAAGAGACCCTAGCAGGGAACCCTTCTTGGCTGTGGGTGTGGGAGGAGGCAGAGGCAGAGAGGAGGAGAGATTTGAAGCTACAAAAAGGACTCAATCACCAAATCAGGGACCAGGGGGTATGATTTCTAGATGCTAGGAATAGCACTCATGTGACAATCAGCAAGAAAATGCGGACCACTGCCCACAACCGGAAGAAGGAACAGTGATCCTCCATTAGAACCTCCTGAAGGTGGGGGGGCAGCCCTGTGACCCACTGCCTTCAGCCCAGGGAGACCCCTATCAGGCTTTTGACCTACCAAATCCAAGGAAATAAACTGATTATTTTAAGGTGGTACACTTATGGCAGTGCGTTACATCAGCAATAGAAAACTAATATAATACCTCCGGCAAAATTCAAGTCATTTTTTTCCCCCCACAATCTTTTAAAGATATAGGCAGATATTTCTGAGATGAAATTCAAGGTAGAAAAGTGGTGGCTTTTCTGACAGTGGTGGTTTTGTTTCTATTTGAGTAGTCTGGCAGGTGCTGCATCCCTCACAAATAACCTCAGTGGTAATAGCGAAATCATGGGGGCTGCCCTATGGATAATAATACAATTGTCCCCAAATCAGAGGGAGGCATATATATAAAAGCAGAATTAACTGAATTGAACTGCAAATTGAATGCACAAAAATCCTGAGTTTTTCCCTCAAAACACAGGAAAAAGACCTTCAGTCCAGGAAACAGGACCATGATCCTATTCAAAGGATTGGCTGGGCAATTTAGCAATGAAACTTAACATCATTATTATTTAAAGGGAAAAAGAAAAAGAAAAAAAAAAAAAACTTTTTGTACTCTTAGATAGGTTTTTCCTTCCAATGGACTTATGAACTTGAGTCTTTTCTGTAAAGACAAAAAACTATGAGTTTAGAAATGCTTAAAAGAGACATACTCCAATAAAAAAAGAATCCTCAAAATCTAGCTTTATATCTTGGTATCAACTAGAATAGGCTATTTGTAATGTGTGGCAATTATTTTACAAACGTTTATTGCACAACTACCAGGCGCCTGGCAGTGTCCTTGGCTCAAGGAAGGCAAAATACGTCCTTAAAAAACCTGGCAAGTAGTTACATGACAGTGTGGGGGATTTAATAATGAGAATAGCTGCAGAGTGCAGCAGTAGCAGAACCCTGAGTAATGGGTGTTCCACAGCTAGTTAATTCACTAGTCACATGTAAGCAGATTTTGGAGAAGGAGACAAAAGAATAAATGCACATTCTGCCAACACATGTAAAACGCAGAATATGTGGCCACTTTTACATAAACATGGATAAACATTACCTTTTCTGAAGAACATATGGAAACCATTCTAATCTAGAGACTTAGGGTAAGCAAGCCCAGCAAGTCAGAGGACTACAACACGACTGACAGGGCTGCCTGAAAACATTTGGCAAACATTAGGTCAATCTGGCAAAAATGACACTTTCACAATGTAAAAAAAGGCAAATAAACATACTTTATTTTTAAAAAAAAGTTGGGGAAAACGAAACATTAAATCCACAAATACCTGGTTCTTCCTCTGTCCTAACCCTTCCTCCCCAAGTTAAGGGATACTGTAGAGTCCTGAGTAGCCAGCATACCTGGGGTTTCGGGCAGTACCCCCTAGTCACGTCAAAGGCTGATACTATTATTAATCAGAACCCCAACATTAGCAAAGTTACAAATTACTCCTAAAAATTACTAAAAGGTCAGAATTTTTCAAGTATCAAAATTTGGCACTTTTTAAAATTATATGAATTTGAAATTGATAGTTTATTATTAAGACTTGCAAAGAGGCATATGGAAAGGGGAAATACACAGGTCAATAAATCTTTACTTGCTAAGAGGAAGATGGAAAAAGGAAAGAAATACAGAGATCAATAAATCTTCACAGACAGTGTAATATCTGTACTTTAATGTCAAAAAGATATTAGAAGTAATTTTTACATATTACTTTATAATATAGGTTTATTCAAATTTCATGAAACTAAGGAGAAGAAATGCACGAGTGCTTTTTTGTGGACATTTCTCCATTCAAAATAGCAAAACAGCAACCCCACAACTTGGAAAGTTGAATTCCCTTGAATGCAAAAATCCCCCAGGAAGAGCTCCAGAGCCAGGAAAAGCAGTAAAAATCTATAAAAACAGAAAACTGAAAAAAGAAAGAAAGAAAGCAGCTTAAGCTTAGATGGCCTGTCTCCAAGTCAACATTTGCCCCAGTCCTTGATGGAGAAAGACAAACAACTCCAGGTGACTTCTTAGTCCCTTACAACAGGGACAGGGCGTGCACTTGAGAAGAAAGAGGGCAAATGACCTCAGTGTGCAGAAGGTCCTTCAACAGAAACCAAATCCCCTCTGACAAAATTCGGGCAATAAACCTAAGGAGAAGATGATTTGTTGAATCAAGTTTCTAACTTGGTAAAACCCTCAGAGACTGTTTTACTTAGATTAACAGAGGTTCAGGAAATACACTGAAAATAAAAATAAACTGTCACTCAAACTCGAGGAACTTCTTCTTGAAGAAATTAGAGGTGGAACTCACATATATCTGATTTCTCTTATATCGCTGGAACAGGTTGTACATGATGGAGCCTCCGTGGAGCTCTGACAGGGCGGCCATGTCGTCCACACCCTCCTCGTTCATGGGGTGCATAGGGGTCACCTTCTGCTGGGTGATTGTGCTCTGTTTGTAAGTGAACACCTGAGGGAGGGAGACAAACTCAGTTGTTTAGTCAGCAGTAAATGGTTTTCACAGAAGCTTCCCAAACCAACAACACAATCTCAGTATAAAGATCCTCAATTAAAAAATCATTTTCTTTATGTCACCTATGTATTTCTAAGGGAAGCAATTATTTGACAGTTGCTATCAGGTATTTCTAAAAGATATTAGTTTAAGCACTAACAATTCTTTGAGAAACATAGAAATTACAAATCTATAGTTCATTTCTCTGTGTATTTCTGCAATTGCTATATAACAGCTAAGAAACTAGCTAAGTCCTTAGAAAGTAATTTGGCTTTCCCAAAAGATGTTTTATATTGGGTCATACAGTAATTTCAAAGCTTCAGTAAGGTTCAGTAAGGTTCATCAATTAAGTATTATAATAATTTAAGTTTTAGTTTCAATAGTTCAAATATTATATAAATTCTTATTTATTCCATATATATTCCATGTATCTGTTTGAAGACTGGAACATCAATGTTTAGAAAATATTGCTGGCCACATGCCCTCTCAACCAAGACATAACTATTCATTATCTATAGGCTAAACAGATCCATGCTCAGAGTTTTAAAAAATTTGTTTCGTTGACAACCTATATTCCTTAAAATTCCCAACAGCAGCAATGAGTGCTACACACACACTGCTGCTTGTTCATCAAGAGACTCTGATACAGTAGGCTTGATTATTGAGTTTAACATGTATTTGTGAAGATCTGCTCAGTGATCTTTTATCATAATTGATTTGGTATAGGATGAACCACACACAGCAAGTTAAGCCCCATCAGTTGACCAAAGCTTGACCAGCCTCCAAACTAACAAATGTGGTAAAACCATCTGATTATGGAATTCTCCATATTTACTCATTTACTAGTTGGTAAAGTTTTGTATTTGTTTGTTTGTTTGTTTGTTTTTTGTGGTGCTGGCCATCATACCTGGGGCCTTGGGCATGCTAGGTAAGGGTTCTATCTCTGAACTACATATCCAGTTCCTACCAGTTAGTAGATTTTATGCTACTTTTATTGCAATCATCATTTAAGTAAAACAAAAATGCCAATAGGTTTAAAAAAAAAAAAAGGAAAGATGTAAGCAACATGAAAAATATAAAACATATAACCTTCACAAGTATACACTCACAGGTACACATACACACTTACACATAAAAAACAATTTTCTGGAATATTTGCAGAAATTTTAAATTGGAAATTATACATTTAAAAAGCAACTAGCTACCTACATGGCAACAAATGGCATGTTTTTGCAAAAGTGAATAACACACCAAGAACTGCAAAAATACCACTCCAATGGTTTTCCTGAGCCTTAAGAAGTGGCATGTTTTATATTTATGGAGAAAAATGAAAGCTTTAGTTGTGGCATTTCTGCCACATGAACCATAAAAGTTGGTCACAAACAGTCCTGAGAAAGTGCTCGAGGCCAAAGCGGGGACCCACCCGTCTCTCCTGAGCAAGAGCCATCTCATCAGCAGCTCCTTGGGCTCGGACCTCCACCAGCGGAATGAGGCAGCACTGGTGGCCCCACCTCAGGGCAAGGGGCCAACCTGCCATGTGAGCACTCAGGCTGGGCAGAGGCCTGGGGCTGCAGCAGAGTGTAGGGTAGAGTGTGCCACGTCCAGAAAAACAAGTATTAAAGCAAAAGACACAAGGACATTCCAGAGTGAAGAAACACATGACCTTTCATTTTGAGTCATGAATACCATGGAAGAAAGTTAAAGAAATGGAAACTCAGGCCAACAGTAAAAGTAGTCCTAAGGCAACCAACAGAATTCCAGATGTTAAGCAATTACACCCCTCTGCCCTTCCCAGCTTGCCACATCCCTGGGACACCCATCTAGGCAGGAATTCCAGAAACATGGCAGTTGGACAGGGTGGCTGGGTCTTCCATAGAAAGTGACGATGGGGTGCGGCAGTGGCAGAACCGGCCTGGCCCCATCAACTTCTGGCCAGCTGAGGAGTGGAAAGGAGGAACTGTACCACCTCCCAGGTCTCACCTCACTCTGCAAGCTCAAAGTACAACTCAACTCGCCTCCAACACTTTCTTCCAGAAAAGAAGACAGGGCACCAAAGCCAGCACAACTATCTTCTACCCAAGGCTCTGTAGATTCACTGTCACCAAGTCTTTCCTAATGTTGACAAAACTGTGCCTATCAGTTTCTTACTGAGTATGTGAAGCAATCCAGAATTTAAAGACAGAAATTATTTAGAATATTAGAAATTTTAGCTATAGGTAAGATCATATTGATGATGCTTTCTGGAAATAATCATGTATACCCTACAATACTTAGTGTGTGTGTGTCTCTCTCACATGCACACATGCAATGATAATTTTATGTTATATGTAAATATTTTCTTTTCTTTTTAATGTATCGGAAAGAGCAAGACAGTGCATGAGTCCAAATGAACAGCTCAGAGCTGGGTACAGTCACTGAAAAGAAAAAAAAAAATGCTGTGATCTGTAAACAGAGTCCCCATCTTCTGTGTACAAAATGTGGGCACATTACCGTTCTAGAAGGGGGAAAATCAAAAACAAACAAACAAAAAAAACTCCAACTATTCATTCTTGTGACTTCAGGATCATGTTGAGAGATAGACAAAATAGGAGGCTATAAACAGAAAAAAATTTAAAAGCATATGTCAAGATATAGAGTTGCAGCTGATAAGAAAAAAGAAATGAAAAAGTGGAGAAAAAAATGTATTTGCGAAGGAAAGGAAGGATGATCATCCATCCAGAAATGGGTTAACATTGCTAAAGATCTTGGAACAGTATCTGGCACATATAAGTGTTCGAAAATTTAAAAATTCAGAAATTCCATTCAAACCAGGCAGCTAGGGACAGAGCTTACATTCCAATTCAGGGGAAGGAAGTGAAAAACAAGCATCCAAGTAAATACTCAGCATCACTGATCCACTGACAGTGATGAATGTCTACAACCTGTAAATGAGAGGAAGAAAGGACAAGGCCGACCAAAGGGAGTTATTTTACATCAGGTGTTTGGGGACAGCCTCACTGACAGGTGAACATCAAAGGAGAAAAGCTACCGAGGTAAGGGACACAATGTGCCCCTGCATTCTGGTGTCTTAATGCATTACTGGTTGAATGAACAACTGATTTAATTTGGAAAGATTTCAAAGGATTAATAAGACCCACAATCCTATTCAAGAAGTTTTAAAGAGAGCCTCTTGAACTATCAAAAGTCACTTCTATGTGCAACAATTAATGGAGTACGAGTTGTGCAAGATTATTCCCAAGCAGCAGAGAAGAAACTTTCCAGTTTCAAGAATGAGGTTCTTTTAAATAGGACTGTTTCTAAAAGAAATGACAGCCACAATGCAATAGTAAGATGTATTTCTAAAACCCAACTCAGAATAAGCTGAGTTACTTCAAGGGAGCAAATACCAGGAAAAATGCTATGTGTTTAGAAAATGAGCCAAATGTGGAAGATTCATAGTCAGGAAATCAACTTAGCAGAAATCAACTTAGAGCAGTTTGGAACAAACGGCTCTTGTTATAGAATTATAAACCACTGGTCACAAGATGAACTGGGTTTGTGTGGGGGCAGAACAGAGGTAACCAATCAACACTAATGGGAAAAAAAAAAAAAAACCTCAGAGATTTAACCAACTATAGGTCCACTGCTGCATAAAAAATGAAAAGGCAGGGAGTCAACTAATCAGATAAAACAGCTTTTATCTTTAACCGTAGAACAGTACAAATATTTCAAGGAAGCCCCTACCGGCTTGTACAGTTTTTATAACATACAGACATTTACAGATTTCTTTTATTACAATTCATTTGGAGCTTTCAGACATAAAACCTAACTTTCCCAATTCAAGATAAGTAGAAATGAAAAAAATCCTGACATGATCAACAGAGGGGACACAGGACATTCTCCGTCATGGCAATACCACCTGACGTTAGCCTAAAATTTCTGTTAGAGCAGTGGTTCTCGATTTCGCTCCCCAAGCACATTTGGCAGTGTCGGGAAACATTTTTGGTTGTCACCGCCTAGGGGAGAGGACATGGGTGCCAGTGGTACCCTGGGCAGGGGGAGGAATGTTGCCAAACATCAAGCTATGACCCAGAAGTGCCAAGCGTGAGGTACGATGGTCTAGAAATGCCTGACATGCCAGAAAACCACATGTCCACCTAGGTATCAGAAAAAGTGGCAGCAGTGAGCCAGAGCCTATGAGCAAACTCTTCATAACACACAGAAGTACGTGTTTAAAAAAAAATCAAAGAGATAAAAACAGCGAACAGAGGCCAATAAAATCAGCATGGTGATATCATATAATTCAGTGTTTTATTATTTTTCACAGGACCCAGGCTAAGAAGGGTGAGGGTGAGGGTGGTGATTTCCAGGCACTGGGATTTGCTCACGTTTCATAAGCATTTTCTAACTATACTGCCTTGTGGTCCAGCACTACTGTCCACTCCATCTCTGCTCCTGGGAATTGTCCCCCTGCTCTTTCCTGCCCAGATCCTCACACCTCCTCCTGTGTCTGGACTGCTGTCACCCTGCTACTCTCCTTCAGGTCTCAGCTCAAATGATATCTTCGTGGCCAACACTGAGACACTGAGTGGAGGACAACCTGCCCAGCCCTGCTCCAGCTGTCTTCATAGCTCCTTTGCAGTTCCTGAGGGCTTACCCACCACCTGGCTTCAAAATCATCACCTAATCCTTCCAAGCTAAACATTCTTGGTCAGGATCTTTCAAACTCTGACCACAGTATGTTTTTCTACTGTAAACTACTGTAGAGTCTCATCAGTTTCATAAAAGCAACACTTACTCTCACCATCTCTTGAGAAGATGCTGGTGCCATGCTCTTAAATCTCCCAGTTCCCAGAAGTCTGGGCCAAATAAACCTCTATTGTTAACATATTACCCAGTCTCAAGTACCTTGTTATACCAACAGAAAACAGACAACAATGTGTGATGCTTCCCCATATTTACTACCTATTTCATTTATT